AACCATTGAGAAAAAAGATCATGGGAAAAAGTCAACAGAGATTTTTTTTTAGACTTATTGAGCTGTTGACGACTCATCTTTAAAAAAAACCGATCAAGATTTTATCATTTATTCATGCTCAAATATACGCAAAATAGAAAACATCTCCAAACATTGTTTTTATGTTAATATGGTGGAAAGTAGCATTAGAATGTAGTTGTTTCATTTTGACTATAGAAAAGCATCAGAACATATTAGTAGGGATTTGTTCCGGCATTTTTTCTAGAGCTTTTCACAATACATCTTTGAAAAAAAAAGAATCAAGATTTTATCATTTATCCATTCCGAGATATATGCAAAATAAAAAGTATGAAAACATTTTCGGACACGGTATTTGGATGGTATGGATCTCGCAACGGACTCCTTTTAGCACTCATACAGACTATCGTAAGCCAGAAAAAACCCATCGAAACTCAAATTCTACTTTTTTGCAAATTTTTGTACGAAAGTTGTAATAGTAGCCCCTCCCCCTTCCCCCTAAAAACTTTGAATGGTTGGACAATTTAGAAGCTCCGAGGGCTTCTGATACGGAGTGGGGGAGGTGAAGTTAGTTTGACTTAGATCTATGAAACATTTTAGTTGTGTATTCGAATAAGCATTCGAATCAAATAGAAGAAGAATATTGTACACGCATCAACATGCATTAAAAATAGCATGATCTTTGTTAATGAGAAAGAATAGAAAAGGAGTTGAAACAAATAGTTTCGTAACAGATACAATAAGAACACATTGTGATTTCGAAAGGCTTGCAGATTAGATAAGTAAATATCCTACGAATTGAGATGTGCTCGTGCTTTGCGTAATAGTTGATCGATTACACTGGTTGTAAGAGAAGATTGAAATGAATTCCAAGTGCACCATTCGAAATCTTGATGCTCACTTGGAATCACCTAGACAAAAAAAATTCATATCGATCGCTAGTCAAACTCAATCGATATTTACTTTTGTTGAATCTGATTTTAGTCGTGCAAGAAATATTACCAATGTCTTCTTCACCATCTCGCCTCCAAAACGTTTGTATGTTGGATAATAAATCTTCAAGTAGCACAAATAAATATGTGCCTGTAAGCGTCATCGCATAACTTACTGTTTCAAATCGAAAAATTGGATCAATATCGATATCTGATGATTGAATACTTGTTTCTTCACGAAGTTCTACAATTAGCAGTGATTCAGTTTTCAACAGTGAAAATGAATGTTTGTCCACAAATAATTCAAAACAACAATTTATAGTTCTGTGGCAACTTAAAGTGGGAAATCTTGTTTTTTTTTACCTATCTTATGGAGTGTAGTGAAACTTTGTACTTAGTGGTTTCTTTTTCCTACGGTTTTTATAGAGATATCTACTCCTTCGAGTCAAACAGTATCAAAGTCAGTAATTATTGACCTATTTCTATAGTTGCCGTTTTCCTCATCACTCATCTATATTTTCAATCAACATTGTTTCTATATGAGTTTATGTTTTCATTATTTCTCATTTTATCGGAAAAAAATGAGCATTATACTATTTACATAACAGTAGTTATTTAATACTATAAACATTTTATATTTCATAAATTAATTGGTTACCTCTTAAAGCTGTTTGAAGTTCAGCTTCGCCGGGTTCCATATGTCCTTTCGGTAGATCATATCGATGTGGACGCTTCATGATTAGAAAGCTTTGGTCTTGTTTGAACACAAGAAATCCACAAGACTTCACTTGTCGAAGTTCATTATCAGTTAAGTTTATTGCCATGTGACTAAGACGTTATGAATCAATGTTTTTTTTAAATGTGATGAATATTCTCCTTTCTAAATCAATGAAATGAAGATGGGTAGTTTTCACATGCATGTTTCTTATTCTTCCTTCAATCATGTTGTGCAATAACATATTTTGTGTATTTTCGCAACAAATGGACAACATGACAAACATTGCCTTTCAATCGTTACTCATCAAAAAAAGGAGAACGCAAAATAATTAAGGAATATTTTAGCAAACAGAGGGTGTCGATGTGAATGTACGTTGATATATATCTTTTCTTCATCCACGACAGCAAAAACAACCACATTCAAACCCTTAAAATCAGATTTTTCCTGATATGTGGTGATGTGGATTAGTTACCGGAACTTTTCGAAGGATGTTCGGTTCTCAGTTAAGGTAAATCCATCGACACATTAGAAGACTCGTGGCCTTCTATTCTATCTTATCGTTCATAAGTTAAAATGGAGGTCTTATATTATGTCCCTACAAAAAGTCATATTTTTTGGTAGTCCCGTCGATAAATCTTAGTTTCACTTGATTGTTGTCCAATATATCGTTAGTAAATGAGTTTGTTTCACTTATTGTACATGTTTAAAATAAGAATGAAATAGATAATATCATGTGAAAAAAAGGAGGTCATAGTTGATAAGAAGTATTCCTAGAACAATACAATAAACGCAGTCTAGTATCTTGATAAGATATCCAATAGTATCCTTTTTTCACAAGGCTAAGACCTATCGATAGCAACATTTTACCTTCTCAATAACTGAATAACGGGTGAGTCAGATTAAATTGTCGCTCTTTGTGAACAAGATCTCTGAGCAACCATCTAATTGTATTTGAAAACAAAGTACAACGTTAGATAGAGCACGCAAAGCTCTACATTTCTATGTAGAAAGCTAATTTAATATAAAATCTTTTCTGTTTGAAAATATCTAAAATATAAGATGAATAAAAACTAACATTGCTCACTAGTCCATTTGTTAAGTACAACACATACAACTTTTTTCAGTTTCTTGTTGCAAAGGTTGATTATTAGAGTCTTGTCTGACAATAACCATTGAACAAAAACGTCACAGACACGATCACTTAACATGACTATACTGATTGTTTGTTACTCCCGTATTTGTCAAAGTAGAAACCGATGAACACGGCAAATTTAGCTTTTAACAGGAGTGTACATAGAAGCAGTGTTATAAAACGTATGTATGACTTGTAATGCAAAATTTTTTAACATTTTGCGACAAACGGTTTATTTTTTGAGCATCGTCTCATACCTTATCAATGCTAATGTTGTCAGTAAGCACTATTCGTCAAACATTTAAACATTTCACAGATTCGATATGAAGAATATTTCTCTGCTTGAATCGCTAAGAACTTAATGTGATCAAACGGTGGGGATGTAAATAACTCAAATAGTTATGTTGATGACGCTGTAGTTTGACGGTATTTGTTAGGCAACACTCGAACAATCAACCTTTGCAACGAGAAACTGAAAAAAGTTATATGTGTTGTACTTAATAAATGGACTAGCGCGCAATGTTAGCCGTTATTCATTTTATATTTTAGATATTTTCAAACAGAAAAGATTCTATATTAAATGAGCCTTCTATATAGAAATGTAGAGCTTTGTGTGCTCTATCTAACGTTGCACTTTTTTTTCAAATACAATTAAATGGTTGCTCAGAGATCTTATTCACAAAGATGGACAATATAATCTAGCTAAGCCGTTATTTTGAATTTTCTGATTTTTCGCTCAATCATTTTTATTTGCAAAGTATTCAAATTCTTATTATCACAAACAGAAAGATGAAAAAAAAAGTAAAAATATCAAGCTCAAGACGTTACAAAGTATATGCGAGTCAAAAGCAAACTCATCGTGTGCTGGCTGAGAGCTCGTGTGGACAGAGATTACAAAAGGATTCAATAAATAGTTTCATAGCCGGAATAAAAACGAAATGTTTGTTATTTCCATATTTATGATTTATTTCCGAGCCAGCGTGGACCTAGGCCAGAAACTCCTTGATGATCTAATTCATGTTTTGTTTGCATTGCTGCACACTGGCAACAGCATGTCGAAATACATTGATCGTAGCATAAGTTACCCTTTACGTTTTGAAGAAAAGAGCAATAAATCATATACTGTGAAGTCTGATGAAAAATTTTAACTAGACACATACTCTGATTCGGAATGCTCCTCGTACTTTTGATCGTACTGCTAAGAGAGCAATTGGTGCATTACAGCAACCAGCCCAAAAACTTTCTCCGGCGCGTTCAGCCACAAGACCAACGTACCAACAGCAACAACAACAGGCAAGAGCAGCTGTAATTCGAAGAAAAACATAATAAATTAATTAATAAACCTCACTTAGATTTCTACTCACAATCGGGACAGTCCAACATTGAGCTACACAAACCAGAATGCCAATCTTTATCGAAGTTAGTTAAATGTTCGGTGACATGTTTGCCTTGTGGTTGCGTTGTAACTGGATGTCTATATGTCAGATTTTGTATTAAACCAAGAAAAGTTGCTTCGAGAAAAAAGACCCACAGTGTGTATACTTACGTTGCCATTTTTTATAATATATTGTGCTGTTTTAATAATTATCTAAAATTGAATATATGTTTCGAAACTGTTGATTCGAATGTTTTAAAGATAGAATATGAACAGAAGAAAGAGTCACTTCTTCTGTATTTCAAAGTAAATGAAAATTGTGAATGTGTCTGTAAGTATAACAGCGACTGTATAGCACATATATATATAGGGTGTCCAGTAATTCACTAGAGTTGGAGAAAAAAATTTGAATATTTTCATGAATCTTCAACCAAATGAGCTGAATTTTTTTTGGAAGGTAGAGGACACGTAGCAGTTTTTATTCATAACAGAACAGGTCGTTTATGCGGATGAACTCAGCACGTTTTTCTTAAACAGAAGGCCAGTCAGCTATGATGAGGACTTGCTTATTATTCAAAGTAGTTCTACTATTGTGTTTTCGTGCGTAAATCAGATCAGTTGTTAAGTTTGACCGTTATCTCACTTTTTGTTTCGTTTTGAGTCATATAGCTGATACCGAAGTATCGATACGTGCATCATTCATGTAAGTCAAAGCACGCATATTTAGAGATAAAGAAAAGAAAAGACAAAAAACAATGGTACGAAAGATAATCCACGTGGTGATACTGTACATAGTTTTAGTTATATCACTTACGATTCTTTAATATGTATGCAACTCGTACCACTGATGAGAAAGTCGCAATTGTACGACTTTTTTCAAAGTTTGAAAATGCAACTGACGTACAAAGAGTATGGACCAATTATTTTGATACAACTCCACCTCATCTGACCACAATTTCGTCAATCAATAAAAAGTTTGATGAATTTGGAACAATTGAAAATCTACCGCACATTGGCCGACCGTCAAGTGTACTCTCTGAAGAAAAACTAGACGAAATTGAAGAAAGAGCCACTAGCAATCCACAATTGTCTATTCGTTTAGGTGCTGATCGAGCTGGTATAAGCAAAAGCAGTTACCATGTGGCAATGAAACAACTTGGCTTTAAACCTTACCGTCCTACCTTAGTGATCGACCTTAATGATGATGATTTCGATCGTCGTAGCGAGTTTTGCGAATCATGGATCGAGAAATTCGAAGAAGATCCCAATCTAATCGACAGTATATTTTGGAGCGATGAAGCCAAATTTAATATGAATACAAGCGTCAATCGACATAATTGCACTTACTGGGCCAGAGAAAATCCACACTTCAAGTTTGAAATGCCAAATACGCAACAAGGAATTATGGTTTGGTGCGGAATAAGTTCTAATGGACTCGTTGGTCCATATTTTTTCAATGATACCGTTACTGGTCCATCGTACAAAGAAATGCTGGTTAATTATGCATGGCCTCGGTTGAAGAACAAAAACTTTTACTTTCAACATGATGGAGCAGGAGCTCATTATTCTGTTACTGTTTGAGAATGGCTAGATAAAAAATTTCCAGATCGATGGATAGGTAGACGTGGTCCATTCGACTGGCCAGCTCGTTCACCAGATTTAAGTCCCTGTGACTTCTTTCTTTGGGGCTATTTGAAGGACATTGTGTTCAAAGAGCCAGTCGCTTCTATTACAGAACTTCAAGAAAGAATTGAACAAGCTTGTGAAGAGATACCCGAAGAAATGTGTCGCAGAGCATGTCGCTCTGTTGTGCAACGTCTTCGTGACTGCTTGAACAACGAAGGACAGTTTCTTTCATACTAATAATATCGCATTGTATGTCAACTATGCTTCCTAATAAATAAAGAAAAGATTATCGTACAGTATTGCATTATAACTATGAACAACAAATGTTTGTGCCTAGCTTATTTACATAGCGAAGAAAAGTGTGCTGAGTTCATCCGCATAAACGACCTGTTCTGTTATGAATAAAAACTGCTACGTGTCCTCTACCTTCCAAAAAAAATTCAGCTCATTTGGTTGAAGATTCATGAAAATATTCAAATTTTTTTCTCCAACTCTAGTGAATTACTGGACACCCTATATGTGTTGCCACTAGAAGTTCTCTCTCTCTGTTTTAATAAACTCTTTGCTCCTTTATTTTCCTCTTTAAAAGAAAAGTTGAAACTATTATAACAACGAAGAGTATGACACAATAGAGAGAAAAAGAGCTTTTATTATTCTTATTGTTGCTTGAAAAGAGAGACCTTGATGATGACAATTTTTTTTTGAAAAAAAGTACGTGGCAAGGTTGTGCATATGAGGGTGAGTGAGTGAAAGTGAGGATGAATGATTGATAAATTATACTTCAACTTCATTCAACCGCGCTCATTCATACTCTCATCACTCTGGCAACGTTGCTCATGATTAGACTGTTAACTATAAGGGTGTGGATGCCAGTAAAGATGAAAATGAGAGTGATGCTGTTCTTTTCACCTTCATTCTTACTCTGATACCTTGTATCTTCATATGTTATTGAAAGTGGAACTTGGGAGTTGGCGGATTTACAGTCTTATCTGACGGTGTCCTATAATACATTCGACCAGATAAGACTTACTAGTGAGCATCACTATATATTAACAAGAAACTTAATGGAAAGGCACTTTCTTTTCCTTTTTTCTTAGGCAGTGGATTACAAATTACGTGTCATCTGCTCTACCTTCACTTGTTTTGAATCATTTATTGCATAGAATGATGTTTCTCGTTAAAACAATCAAGACAAAAAGAATCGTCACAATCAGAACAGAAGGTTTTTGTTTTCTTTGCTGTTGTTAGGCTCGCTTCTCTTCATTGTTGTTGGCTAATTTTGTCATAGCAGCCAGTACAGAATGAAAAAGGCAACGAGTGCATTTTTCAAAAGATGAGTGCACACAAAAATGAATATGTTAGAATTACTCTGCCATGAAATGAAATCGGATCGGCTGTGTTGAAAGAACTTTCCTGCAAAACAAAACTGAATGTACTCTCAGATATGCAGATCAACTTCTAATTCTATATTCCATTAGTCGCGAGATGGCACGACCAGTTATTGGCCAACCTCGCAAAGAAGAATTCAGTCGAAAACTAAATAAAAGTGATTTTGTACACTAAAGCACTTTGCCAAATGGTTATCGAGCATCTCACTGACTTTTAACTACTTAGTTTCTGAGTGATCAAAATCTTTCATAATAGACTTTTACAACTGGATTTTTCTAATAATTCATTCAGAAAAGTAGCAAATACTTTGCGCTAGTTATCGGTTTTTATTTGAAAAACTAATAGTAATTTTAGTATGAACTCGACGTGATGATAGAGATGGATTCCAAAGCTGGTAGAAGACTCAGTTATATGTCTGGTTAAACTGACAGGAGAATAGAACTTTGCCAGATCTCTAGCATTCTAAGCTTCGAAATTCTCTACATTGAAAAGATAAAAGAAAATAAAATTCTATAACGAACGATATTTGTCGATTTTTTCTGAACACAGACATCGTTTCTTGAAACTATCTTATTTTGAAAGCTTATGAAAAACTGAATATCTTCTTCACAAAGCATTCATCTTTACATAGTCTAGTTCTGCAGGGAAATATAATTTTCAGAGGATCACTAATAACGGAATTTATTCAAGTTTTGGATCGCTTTTAAGCCAAGAAATGGGCGCATCTTTTAGAGATCATTCTTGACTTTGAAGCAGTCTAACACTTGGATATGTTTCTTCATCAGTGTTGATTCTAATTTCTATGAAATATGATCGACAGAAGATTTCAACACTATGGAAGTTCTGTAATCATCAATGAAATCTCTTGGGTTATATATTTCAGTCTAGATCATTGTTGTAAGAATAACGTTTCGATATGTCTATTAGCTTTTGTGTGGAATCCGAAAATCAGCCACAAAACAAAATAAAACAACAGAAATGGATTTTTGTCACCAAAGAATTTTAAATCACCTGAAGATTTGAGATGTGTGTGTGCTAAGTCTAATGTTGGAGACGAGGAGACTCAGTGGTTGGATGGACTCCACATATTCAATCTTCTCTTATTCTTACTTACCCGTCCTCAAATAGAAGTTCATACTGTCATTTATTTGGAGTAGATTTAACAAGAAACCTAGCCTTGATTACATCTTTTTATATGTTTTCAGCTCAACGGCGATGAATTATGCTGAGAACAAGCTTTCTGATAAAGCTTTGTGAAGGCACGACAGGACAATTCTTTGGCAATTATGTGGCACATGGTATCACTCCTGTTTATCTATTAGAATAGCCAAGAAAAATCATTCATCTCGACGATGAAAGATAAGAGCGAATACAGTATCGACTCTCAACCATTCATCATAATCATTACTTCTTTAAACTACTTTTGTTATTGAAAAAATTCAAAACTGTTTTCACTGGATGCAGCATGTAAAACTGTGTCACGAGACATCCTTTTGAAAACGAAAACATCTATAATGGTTAGAAAGTTCTAGAACCTCAAAAAATTTTCTTGGAAACTCGATTAGCCGTACTCACTGAAAGCTTTTATTTTGAATAAACATAATTTGTACAGAAAAACAACAGAAAGAAATGAACAAGCGTCACGCAAATATTAAGCATTGACTGTCTATATTTTAGTACAGTTCATTCTTGTCGACACTCAGAGTCTTGTCGTCCTTTAGAACAATAACTTCAATGACTGATCCACTATTGGGAACATGAGTCCAGTTGTTTGTCAAAGTCGTATGTGCATATAGTTGAGCGTTGGTGACAACATCCCAAATTATGCAATCTTAGAGTGAAGGTGAGTGAAATTCAACAGAAGATCATTGCTTTCACGCAGAATTGACGTTCGTATACTTAAACAAATATGATCGATAATATAAAAAATAACTTCTTTCAATTATTCATCAGATTGCTCTGTATATATCTTCGTCAAAATTAAAATCTTACCCGGGATAAAATATTCGAGTAAATAAGTGTACTGTTCTCAAATGCTTCTAAAATCAAAACCTTACCATGAAATGACTGTAATATGATAGATTTTTGTAATTGAGTCTACACTTTCCTGTCATATAAATTGAATGTATTTTACTTACCGAGTCACATTTAACTTTACCGACTCGAAATAGATTTTCAGCTCTTAATAGCACTTCTTGCTCATCTGAAAAATATGAAACAGAAGATATATTCCTTTGAATAACGATAACCTCATTTCATCCAACATGAATTATCAACAATGTGCATTCAACCAACAGCTGATCTACTGAACGATCTGATCATATAGAAGTAAATGTGGGTCATGAAATATGTGTATCAACAGTTTGTTTATATTTGTCAATTATCCCTTCAGTGAGATTACTACCACGAAAAACAATTTTTATCTGGCGACGATTTGTGTGGTTGATAAGATACTTATATAACAAACAACAGAAAGATGGGGATGTACGTAAAGATGAGAGTACAAGAAGCTCATTATCGTGATTCAGCGTCACTCAACTGGTCATATGATTGCTCACTGTTATCATTGTATTCCTAGTCCCGTTATATAAAAAGGATGATATTGGCTGAGCGTGTTCTTATTGTTCAAATATTCCCATGTGGTAAATTTTTCCTCAAAACACTCGGTAACTGCTGGTACTGACTACCCTGCCGATTTTTCAGAGAAATATTGTTAGTTATTGAGTCAAAATGAACTCAAATGAAACTGAACAACTGCATGAATGATCTATATGGCCAAATTCTATTTTTAGTCACTTCATCTATATAAAAAATTGACACTAGCGAGCGGAACAGATTTGGACTGTGTGATACTCATAAAGATTCAATTTAATTTGAATCAGAAACAAACCTGAATGTGGGTATGGATTTGAGTGTGTGATTAGAATCACGACTATTCCACGACAAATGGCATTTGGTTCTTTTTTTTGGGCAGAAACGTCATAAGGTGGAATCTGAATTTTTTGAAAAGATATTATATCATAATCGATCAGTTCAAAATAAATAAGTAGAAAATAACATTAGAACTATTCTGATACGATAATCTTTTTTTTTTGTTATTTATATTATTGTCCATTGAATCTTCAACATCATGGAATTTACAATATATTATTATTATTATTTCACCTAAAAATATAGGGAAGACTATCATTGATGTCCATGTAATTGATCATGTTGTATTCTCCTGTATATCTAACAAATCAATGATCGTATCAACAACTTCATTATTAAACAATGGTGGTTCATGAATGATCGATTAAAGTAGAAGTTGAATTACTTGTAGCATCTCATGATCTAAACTATCATCTAGATCCTGTTTATCATCATCGTTTTCTATTTCTTCTTTTCTGATAATTTCGCTCGTTGGTGCATTGTAAACAATTGCGCGTATACTTTTAAAATATTTTGCAATCGATGATAGTACTGACTTGAAATATAGACAGCGGAATACCTATCGGCAACTGACTTAAACCAACGTCATCTATGTTGCAGTAATGTGGATTGTTATCGTTGATGCTTGTCGTTATCTTATGACAACAGATGTCAAATGAGATTTTGTAAAAACAATTTTCTATGGATAATCAGACCAAAATCTTTAAAAGCTTCGAACGAAAGAAGAGAAACAAATACTTATTGCTTTGTTGTCAGAAGTCCTTTTCTTATCAAATCTGAAATTTAAGCATTGCTTCATCTGTTCTTTCTAACGTTACTTATAAGACATGAAAATCTGATTTTTGTCTGTGCAATCTGATGTGCTCTATTCAGCTTCAGAAAAAAAAACTCGCGTAGAAAAAACATTGTGGAAGGCTTGAATTTCCAGCGCTTTAAATCAACATAAAGTTGTATGAAACTACTAATGCATAATGAATAAATGAAGATTGTGAGTGAGGTTCATATCAGAATTCATCATTTTAATTGCTCGCATTTCTCTCATTCATTCGTGACTGTCACTCTAGATAAATAGAATAAGAAAAAAAAACACCAAGTTCACAGATATTCATCGTTTTTTTTTATTCTTTAGCGCTATGGATCTAAAAAGAAATTTAATACAGATCTACTGGCTGCATCATCACTGTTAACTGTGAATCGAAAAATGTGATCGACATTTGACTGGAATTACCTATTATAATCCATTTTCTTTTTTTTCCCATATTATTTACTAAAAAATACATCAGAAATTCTTTCAGGATGAACAAATACTGATAGAGACGAGACTTTTACTGAACAAAGAAAAGTGTCTCTTATTAGGTACGTGTTCCGTCGTTTGACTAAAAACATCTCTCTTTTATGATGGAGGAAATAAGAAAAAAGTCAGAAAAATAAAGCATAATTTCCTTACACACATCGTTCATATTCAACTCAAAGCAACAATGTTATCAAATATTGTCTTAACGTTTATTACTCTAATCAGCTCTAGCCTAACAATATTGATTGCTTTCACTTTATTGCTCACTTTGATCATTCATGTACTACAAAAACAAGATGTTTCAGTTCTTCTGATAGCAAATGCATATGCAGCTATGATTATATATAGTGTCGTCATTTTATCAGAAACTATTATTGTTCTTAAAGCAGATCTATATGGTATCGCTAGTCTTACAGACAAAGAATTAATTGGATGTCCATTTCTAGGTTTTCTTACTTACGAAACATTCGGTTGTTGTTATATGAGCTTTGTTCTTCAAGCATTTTATCGATTAACAAGAGTTGTATATAACAAATACAAATTCTTACAGGTTTGTAAATTTCAATCTCCTTGCTTTTTTTTCATGCATAGTTTGCAAGCATACTTGACAGAATTCGTATATTCATATTTAAGACATCTAGAGAATATGACTGAAATAAATTGTATTTAATTTTCAATGAATTTGTAGGCATTTTCATTCAATTTGATTTGCATTGTACTTCAATGGGCTATTCACTTTCTTCTACTTCTGCCATCATATTTTTGGCCGGGGTCACTCTATTCTTTATATGAATTAGATTATTATTGTGGTATTCGATATGAAAAAATTCTTGGACTTTCTTATACGGTTATGAATATTTTCGTTTTTCCTATTACTTTACTAACCATAATTTATGCACGTTTTTTGCATTTTATTCGTCATCAGGCTCCTCAATTATCACAAGAACGACAACGAAGAAGGGCCCAACGTGATCTTATGATCACTCGTCGTATTTTATTTACTGTCATTGCTCTTACTTTGCCCGGAACATTGAATATCACTTTTGTTATCATGACAAATATTGATGTTCGTTTTTCAGGTTCTTTTTATATGTATAGAATTCAATGGATGGGTCCAGCAATAACTTTATTCATACTCAGTATTGGAATTGTATTTATTACTCCACAAATCAAACAAATACTTGTCAAGTTAAAATTTTGTAGAAATCAAGTAGCACCGATACAAACAACACAGCAAGAATTACAACAACCTTCTATTTTTCTGCCAACACAAATTAACACTAAAACTACAGACTGATGTACTTTAATTTTACTGAACTTTTTCAATCTTTTCTCATTTTATTTATAATAATAAAATACTGCTTATGACAGAGATTTTAAAAGGTTTTTAAATCTAATATGATACTCGATTTATTACAGAAGAAGAAAATAATAAGAATATGTTTAATACATTTGAATTATATCAAATGTCTAGAATATTGAGTTAGAATTGCAAAGCCTTGAGAAAATGTTGAACAACGATCAAAACTAATAAATGCAATCACTCATACATTTCTCCTTGTTTCAAGAAAATATGAATCTTTACTTTTCGCAATAAACTAAATCTAATCATAAGCGACAGAAAAAATATTTACGCTTGTCTAAGTGGTCGATGTGTACCATTGAACAGACTATGATAATTTTTTCTTTTTTTTTTTTACATGTTGATCAAGCGATCATATATGCAATAATAAACAAATGTTTCAAACTGATTTGTATTCGGGTGATCTTTGATTATCAATAAGCATGGTTTGTTATATAATAAATATTTCCTGTTTATTTTGTTTTTGTTTTATTTTGAGTAAATTTGTCTCTAATTTTCCCAAAAAGAAATGGCCAATATGTGTTGATCAGTTCTCATTATAGCAATTAGATTTTTCACCCAAACTTTCTAGAATAAAAAGTATAGCTAACAACATTGTTCATTATCAGAAAATTATTTTTTTACTTAAAGATTTATTTTAAATCGAACAATAATATGTCAATACTATATGTTGATATATTTGCATGGAATCGACGAAAGCAAGTTTTTGTATTTTTTGCTTTTTATTGTTCATTACAAGGTTTTTTTTCTGAACTTAATTTAGAAAGTTTTGTTATTTTAAGTTATTTATAGTTACAGTAAGTTTTCGATGCTATTATCCAATTATGCAGAGTTTGCGGCTGACTGTGACGTCTGAACGATCAAAAGTGTCCGCATTTCGATTCACCTATAAAAAACATATTCCCTTACAAATTCTTCCGAATTCCAATCGAAGATTGTTTACTTAGAAATATATTCAACACATATTATCTTGGTTTTCTTATTAGCAGCTTTGTATAGGAAAAACTAAAAAAAAACAAAAGAATTCTTGTTCGAGTTATTCTCGAACCTGAAGATCATTTCAAAGACAAACGTACTCAAATAAAATGTATTTAAAAAAAATAACAACTGAAGCGGTTAGACTGCATCTATTTTCACTATTAATCGGAAAATAAGAGCCTCCAATCCAAGATAATGACGTTATCGTGCATATCTTTCAAAGAATTTCCAAGCCGTTTAACTAATGGCTTATTCGGGCCGAGTTATTTACAAGTTAATGCATCACGCTACTAATTCGATAGCATACATCGTAGGCTATGACGTATACTTCCTACCGATAATGTCTCATAATGAGTAATGCAAATGCATAGAAATATCGTAGAGCTGACTTTAAAAAATTCTATGTAACACTCAAGTCCTGCTTAGTTGTCACTAATGAAAGATGAATAGTAAATCTTGTAATTCATTAACTGTAGGATAGTTTGAAAAGTACTGAAGCTGGTTTATGTTTTGAAATTCTATTAATTTTAAGACATACTTGAGTTTAGGTGCTTTTTATTTCCTGAGTAGTACACAACATAGAATAATCGAAAACTGGATAATGAAACTGTCAATGTTACAATTATGGGTTAACCAAAAAAAAAAGAAAGAATTTGATGACAATTTGAAAACGTAATCGAAGCTTTGATATACTATTTCTAACTATTTTTTGCAGTCATACCTATATCGACACTCGAATCCACATCCTGAAAGAAGATTTTTGCAAACGAAGCTCATAATACATATGATGGGAGGGGAAATTCTAACAAAAGATGATCCTTTAAGTGATTTAGCAAGCATACGCACACCCACACCATAATTAGGGGACTTAAGACTGAATCGGGACTTTTGACTATTGTCACTAATTGTGTTTTTACAGAACTTTCGATAATTGCTGAAAGCTATCTGCGAAATTCATTGTCTCTAGAATGGTGAAGAAAGGTTTCCCAAGGTAGACAGACTAAAGCAATCCTTCCGTTATTAATAACAGCAGGTACATCTTATTTCACATGTGAATCTCGCAGAAATTCATTAAATAGTTTTAATAAAGAGAATATCACATTTGTAACGGATTACTTGTATTGTTCACTGATTACCGTGGAAAAATATTCTGAATTAATTTTATTTTCGATGATATAACTTTTTTTCAGAAAAGTAAAAACCAAAATTCATATATATTTTATATATAAGTAATATGATTCGATTATATTTAATGATATCATTGTCTTTGAATATTTGTTTGATCAAACTCATCCTTCAGAATCCTTCTACAATTATTTGATAAACTAAGATGCCAATGTATAGTCTAATGGTAAAGCATTATATTTAACAATATATGCTTAGTGGAGTCTCTGCATTAATCATTAAAACACAAAATATTAATTTAGAAAACGAATTTTGTTTAGCATCGAGTTTTGATAGTTTTATCGTCAAATGAATGGTTAATGAGAAGGTTCTGCCAACTTCAACTAAAAATGCTACAATACTAGTTATTTCTCATTGAGTTTTAAAAAAGTTTCTGTTGCGGTGCGCTTCAATGTCAAATTTCGTTCATATTAAATTTTGAAAAGATCAAACAGAGCTATCTCCACCAAAATTAGAGAATCAACAGCTGTATTCCAATCGTTTTTGTGACATAAGTCTTGCTTTACTAGGATTATATCATAAAAATTCGAAATTTGTCTTGAATAGTTAATCAAGTTTCATGTTTTCATCAATACTATCGTTGTCAGTTTAATTTAATGTTTCTGTGAATTGCTTCAATGGATCATTTATTTCTTTTATCATCACTTTGTTATCCACATTCGATCTGCATATTATACAAGTTAATTTACTATAATGATATTCTTTTTGAAAAAAAAAAACTAGTAATCTTTTCTATACAGAAATGAATATGCATATTCTTTGCCCTTTTTTTTTATCTGACCGTCATTTATACTTTCTAAGCGTTTTATATTCATCGGAAACCTCTCGTCACCTCCATTGTCACAAGTTCTCCAAGGAACAAGAGCTCAAATTAACTTGATTGTCATTTGTTGTATTTTTGTGTAATTGTAAATACCCGTATACTACCTGGTTTGTCTAATTTTATTTTCTTCATCATGGTACATATAGATTTGAACCTTTCCGACTCTTGTCATATGAATATGATTAAATGTGAAATTTCAAAAGGAATCACGTGCATATTGAATATCGTTCAATTAATCTTAATGTAACAACTCAATAGATTCTTTTTAAATACAGGAAAATCGACTTATATGTTGACTGTTCTCTATTAGTAATCGAAGTAAAATTTTAAAAATATCAAGAAGAGAAGAATATGAATGATTGAGTTGATGTTTGAATACTTCATTAGATATCATATTCGTAATTTTTTTCACTCACTTTGCAAAAAATATGAAATCTATTTCTTTGTTGTGATACTATAGGATAGTCAAAGCATAATATTAAAAAACTCATTCTACTCCATGTCTCAAGGCACATCGATCATACGAAAACAAGAAATGCAAAGAAATCATACTATTTACAATTCTTAAACGATCGATAAGCTTTAAACTAATGAATTAGTTACTAAAATTAGGTTTAGATTTTGTGTCAAATACCTTATTTTCTATAATTTTAGTTTAGTAAAGACATTATCAATGCATACATCATCATTGATTTGAATTTATTTACTTCTTTGAACGTTTATCATTTGTATAGAAAATACTCCTGAAATATATATTGAAAGAAACTGCACAAATAAACAGACAAACATTTTACAATGATATGTAGTAAGCGATGACTTCATTTTCATAAAATAATTCAACATGTATTCAATAAACTAAACAAAAAGATATAAATAGTTGATTCATTTTATAATTTAAGTGGAAGCCCATATTTCCTAATGCTTCTAAATAAATTCAATTAAAATATTTTTTATTATGCAAGATAAATAAATTCTTATAATAGAGTGATGTTAAAAATCATTGAATTCATAATGCATCTTTCTATTTCATTCATCTTCATTTGTTTTTAACATGATATAATATAGTCTTGAGTGTTTCTCTGTTCGAGATTTAACAAGACTGCAATAAAGATTGACATCAATTAAAAGCTTTATTGTATTATACGTTTTCTTCATTCAACTCATATTCAATAAGAAAATTTCTCAAGAGCATTAGGCGCAGAAATTCACAACTGCCACAATGTATTTTTTTTTCGATGTACTTTTTGTTGCGTGATTAAATGAAGCATACCGAGATACCTAAGAAAAGTTCAAAATATCATATGAAGAAAAGGTCAATTCTAGAGCTTTGTAAAAAAAAAACAATTTTCAATAACAATGGAATGAATATGTTTTCTCTTTCATTCCATCGAACACTTTAAAAACTTTTGTCTAGTAATTTTCACAAAGTTGATTTAGAAAAAAATTTATGTTAAAAATAGGCGTCATAAAATGATTTTATGTGAATAATCAGGCAAACGTCTTTAAAAAATTGCGATCCCAAGAGAAAAAAGATTCATTAGTTTCTTGTTAAAAATAGCTTACTTACTAAGTTTCAAAATTGACCTTTCCTTCATACATACTTCTAATTTTTACTTAGAAAAAGTTGAAAAACAACATGAAAAAAAATATTTGTGAAAATTTGAAATTTCCAATCCCTTACATAAACTTAAAATTATATGAAACTGCTACTGAATAATAAATAAATGAAGATTATTAACGGCACTCATATGACAACTTGCCATTTTAATTGCTAGCATTCCTCGCAATAATTCGTGATTGCTACTCTAAATACATCAATTAAGAAGAAAAAACATCAAATTTAGAGGTATTCATAAAATTTGTACGCTTCACTACTTCCAATCTAAAAAGAAATTCGATATACGTCTCTGAACCCAAGCAGACAAACATTTTCAAAAACGCGTTTAAA